CATATGGAAAATCTCTCTGCTATCTTTGAAATTTCTCTGTAAATCTAAAATTATTCCAAAACTAAGAATTTATTTTTGCCAGGCATGGTGGCATACACCTGTAATTCCAGCACTCAGGAGGCTGAGGCAGGAGGATCACTGAGAGTTTGAGACCAGCCTAGGCTACAAAGTGAGCTCAAGGCCAGCCTGAACTGCTTAGTGAGACCCTGTCTCAAAAAGATTAAAAAAAAAAAAAAGAAAGGTATTTATTTTTAAAAGAACACTACTGGGACAATTGGGGAATTTTATAGATGACAGAGAGTGTATTTTATCAGGGAAATTCAAAATTTTTTATTTATACTTAGATTGTGGTTGTGTAACAGAATTCCATGTTCAAAGGGATGAAATGTTAAAGACATCTTGAACTGGGGATGTAACTCAGGGGTACAGCATCTCCCTGGCAATCATGAGGCCCTGAGTTCGATTTTTGGTACCAAAAAAGAAAAAATAAAAATAAATAAAGATATCTATCATTTTTGCTTGCTCATGCACTTCTTTGGTTAACAGACTGTTTTTCTAATTAATTCTGTCTTAGTTACTTTTCTTAGCTCATAGTTTGTGGAGGTTTTAGTCCATAATCAGCTGGCTCCAAGGCAAGGTGGCACGGTGAGGGGCAACACTTCAATGTGGCAGAAGACAGCAAAGACAGTAAGAGCAAAAAGAGGGAAAGCAAGCCCCCTTTCCTCCCTTATATTGTAGGCAGGCTACCCACCCTAGGGTGGTACTCTACACCCCAGGATGTAGAACAGCTGAGTCACTCAAACTTTTAAACTTCTCAAGTTGACACAATAAATCAACCATTACAGCATCCTAGGGTATAGACAGCTGCCTAGGGCATGTCCTCTACACCCTGGAATGTAGACCTGCTGAGTCACTTAGTTAAGCTTCTAAACTCCTCCAGTTGACACAGTGAATCAACCATTACAAGTTCCCATTACATGGGATCTTGTAGTAATGCAAATAAAGGTTTCCTGCTTTTCTCCTAAGGGGGAATATTTTATCCAAACTAGGCTGATTACACCCACCCAGGAATTTGAGTATTAAATAGAGTGACTTTTTGGCCTATTACTCTGGCTCTTAATCTGTATGTACAATCATTAATTTTGTAAGGACTTATAAGTAAATAAGGACATCTGATGCTGGTAAAAAGCGGGGGGAGATGGAGGGGAAGGGGAAAAAAGAATTGGTACATGTGATGTACATGTACCAATTCCCCTACAATGGATGTAATTAAAAAGTTTCTAACAAAGCAAACCCATACGGAATTCATGGGAACAAAAATAAAGTGATTCCATTAGTTGAGTTTCCATAACAAAACACCACAGTGGAGTTGCGTATAGTGGTGCACACCTGTAATCCTAGCATTTGGGAGGCTGAGGCAGAAGGATCACCATGAGTTTGAGTTTGTGGCCAGCCTGGGTTACATAGTGAGTTCAAGACCATCCTGAACTACATAGCAAGACCCTGTCTCACACCAAACAGAACAAAACAAAACAAAACCAAAACCACAGTGGGGCTTAGGATACAACTTGGTGGTGGGGTGCCTGCCTACTATGTTCAAGGCCCTAGGTTTAATCTTTAGCACCACACACACACAAAAAAAGATTGAAGTTTGGTTTAAATGCTGGTTGTACATGTTATACCTTCTCTAGTACATTACTAATAGTGCGGTTTGTTCAAAGTATCTGTCACATCTTTTACAGCTTTTCATATCTGTCATCTATTACAGATTATGCTACTGGAGGCTCCTGATTTTTACTAAAGGATAAGTTATCATTACAATAATAAAATATCTTGGAGCAAGTAGACACTGAGAAGGGTTTAGAAGGAATAAGATTGCCTTTGAATTGCTGATGAAGTAGGTGATAAGTACATGGATGGAAATTTACTGTACTCTGTGTATGTTTGAAATTTTCTATAATCTGAAGATAATAAAAATGAAAAAACCCTGAAAACTGAGTAAAAAAGATATCAAATTGCATAGTAAATCAGTAACAACATACAAAGAAGCAATTTAGTGATTTTTTTTTTTTTTAACCAGGAATCAACCTTAGGACTGCACGCTGGCCAGGCAGGCGCTACACCACTGAGCTATATCCCTGGCCAAAGAAGCAATTTAAAAGACTTTGAACAAACAAAAAAACATACAGCTTTGGTGCTTTAGTTCCTCTCTACTCACCTCCCTCATCTGAGAAACTCTAGACTGCATATGAATCAACAGGAAGTTGGTACCATTAAGAATGGTATATACACTCCACTGTTGCCAGTGTAGCATGAGATACATTTGAAAACAGCTTTACAGGACAAGGTGGCATTGTGTCCAGAGGTCTGCTCTAGTTCACTAATAATAAGATGCTTTTAGTTTGCACAGAAATTATAAAAAGGAGTAAGTGCCTCCAAAAAAGTTGCAACAGACCACTGTTCGTTCCTCATCATAAGTGAGTTCTGTAAGTCTCCAATCAGACCTGACTCTCGCAGCCCCCAACTTGCTGGGTAGAAGCACTACTGTCTGCAGGGAACTCAGCTCAGCACCAGAGGCTGTCATCAACAAGCACAGGAAAGGAGATAAGACAGGACAAGGAATTTTGCAGGTCCTGGGGACATCTGGAGAGGGACTCTACCCACAGAGATTGCAAGTTTGCCAGAGATGTTCATTGGGATCTTCCCACCTAATATCCCCTGCCTTCTCTCCACCATCCCTGTAAAAGCGACACACTTCTTTGTCAGTTTTATCGCGTTGTCTGCCTGAACCCAGGCACAATAAATTCCATGCCATCATGTTGCCTTTACACAGCCTGGTGGTCTCTCCTGTTACACGTTACAAGTTTAACACGTTTTCCATTTATTATTGGTGTACTCCTTTATTTCTGCCTTTATTTTTTTCTATTTACCATGCCTTTTTACCTGCAACTTCCATCTGTCCTGCATCCTTCTGGATTTGTTTTCAGTACTTCTCTTCAGATTTTAATTGCACATTTTATTTTTATGCTTTTTAAATTATTAATTTTGTTTGTAATCTTTACTTATTTAGCCTAAACTTTGTCCTTTTCCAGAAGACATGTACTCATAAACTCAGATATCCACTTTGTACTTTTTTTCATTATGCTTTTTTGATTCTTTAAAATTAGCACATATGATGTAGTAAAAAAAAGTGAACACTTTTATTGGGAAAAATGCCAGTCTATCACCTGTGTATAATAAAAGAGGAAGAAGTCATATTTTAGCGATCTTCTCAGAGGGTAAATAAAGAAAATCTCAAGGTACAATGTTAACTTAGAGATGGGAAAAATAAAGAGTTTGATTTTGTATGGCTCTTTTAGCTACAGGGCACAAATAGACTAGGAAGTTCTGGGAATCCAGGATGTTTGGATGAAACTGAGTTTTGGTTTTCTTCTTGCCCAAATCTTGTACAGCCTAAGACGACAATGAGGTCAATGACAGAAACTCTTTAGGTGGCAGTTTACATGTGCCCAGTACTAGAAATATATTTTAATTTATTCTATATTTCTTTTCCCACCTAAGAAAGGAAGCAAACAAATTTACGGAACCTAGATTACATGACTCCTGATATAGTCACATTTCCTGGCCTCCTCTTCTTCCCCGTGAGCTGCAACAGACCACTGCATTGCACACTTCTTGCTTCCTTGACCCATACGTTAGCTCTTTCAAGGGGGTCTCACGCCAGGCTGCCAAGAAGGAGCCTGCTACCCCTCTTCCTGTTGTCTGTGGAGACTGGAGTTTCTTAGATAAGGAAATGGTGAAGGTAAGGATGGATAGGACAGGGATGGATGGTAAGCACTAAGTAGGACTAAATCAAGATTTCATGTAGGAAATGAGAAAACTCTTGAGATGGAAAAAATCCAGACCTATAACTAACTATAAATACCTAGACTCCCGTGTGGTTGGCAAACTGATTCTGAAGACAATTCACAAGTAGAAGGTACCAGAAACTTGGCGTTAATGATAATTAAAATTAACATACAGGCTCCTAAGGTAACTTAAAAAAAAGATTTAATCTTTTAGTATGCTTATTCAAAATGTACTATATCTCATTTGTACTCATTAATTACTCTTCAAAAAAGGCTAATAATGCAAACAGTTGTAACAGCTTAAAAGGAAAAGGTTTAATTTCTGAATTTCGATTTGTTTTATTATCACTCAAGAAAAGCCATAGACTTTTTTTTAACATTATCAAAAATACTGTGCAGAGCAATAAGAACTTTATCATTTTTCCTTGTTTTGGTTTTTTGAGACAAGGTCTCACTATGTAGTTCAGACCCCCCTTGAACTCATTATGTGGCCCAGGCTGGCCTTGAACTCAGAGCAATTCTCATGCCTCGGCCTCCCGAGTGCTGGGATTGCAGGTGTGCAAAACCACAGTAGCTAAGAACTTTAGCGTATGTAAAGCCTAGTTAATCTTTGAAGGGAATATGTAGAACTTAACATGTCACATTCCAATATGAAGTTGAAGCAGAAAATCTTGGTCTTTTCAAACAACTTGACTAATGATGCCTATGCTGGTTATATGGCAAATTTCAGGCAACCCTAGGAGCTAAACCCATTATCAATTTCATAGGAAAACAAAACCATAAAATTTTCTCCCCCCTCCAGTTACAAAGTCTCATGACACCCTAATTTATGAAAATTATACACAAAGTTAAATATTCCTTGAGCTTATGATAATACACCAATGAAAAAAACCCAAATATTTAAAGTACAAATGTTTTATTTACATATACACTTCTTATCCTTAACTGAAAGCTTACTGTAATACAGAACAATTGCTTTTTTCCCTCCTCAATTAATAGCTTGTTAAATTTTGTTTTGTTTTGGCATTTACATACATAGAGAAACATCTTTATAAGAAATCTTAGGTGGGCATGATGGTGCATGCCTCTAAGCCCAGAATTTGGGAAGCTGAGGTACGAGGATTGCTGCGAGTTCAAAGACAGCCTGGGATACATAGTAAATTCAAGGCCAGCCTGCACCTCAAAGTGAGACCTTGTCTTAAAAAAACCAAAAAGAAAAAAAGTCTTTACTTCTATAATTAATGCAAAGACCCAGATTCAGTAACACTGCTGTACCTGTTAAAAGTGCTCATAAAGCCAGGCGTGGTGGCACACCTGTAACCCTCAGCACTTGGGAAGCTAAAGTAGGAGGATCGCTGCAAGTTTGAGGCCAGCCTGAACTGCATAGCGACACCCTGCCTCAAAAAGACAAAAACAAACACACAAAAACCCCCAAATCCTGCAAGTAAAGCGCCACACACTGCGTGGTGCTACACACATGTAATTTGAGCTACTCAGGAGGCTGAGGCAGGATTGCAGGTTTCAGACCAACCTGGAAAACACAGCAAGACCCTGTCTCAAAAAATAGAAAAGAGGTGGGAAGTACTTGGTGCCAAAAGCCCTGGGATCAATCCCCAGTACAGGGGGGCAAAAGTGCCAGCACATGGCAGAAAATATTACTGAAATTCATACTTTCTGTTAAACTACGTTTCCTCAATTATGCAAATGTTATTAGAGTTAGAAGGAAAAATTCTAGTTTTCCTGTAGAAACTATTTTCTAATCTTTTTCGTTTGTGTTTAGTTCTCATTTCTGTTTTTGAGACAGTCTCACTGTGTTGCCCAGGCTGATTCTGAGCTCCTAGACCCAAGTGATCCTTCCACCTCAGCAGGGACTGCAGGCACCACAAACTCTTAATAGTGTATTAAACATTTATTTTACACTCACACTCGTGTAATTATTATAAAAACCATAAATGGTTATCTAGTTTGCACTGACTCCCTTATTATCTGTGCTTACTTTCCAAGCGCTATGCTGTATTATATGTAGTTCAATTTTTTATGTGATTTTTCTTTCTGAAAAAATTTATCATTGCCAGAACATGATTGGCACTGACTTTTTTCTTATGGGACTCTACTCCAGCATTCAAATAGTGGACTTCACATCATGAGTTCTCTGCTATTTAATAGGATTCATCTAATATTTAAGGCTGTTATATTCATAAAGTAAATACTAAGTATGCATTTTTTGATGTACAATAAGGTTTGACTTCTGGGAAAACGCTCTCCCACATATGTTACATTCATAGGGCTTCTCTCCTGTGTGAGTTACCCGATGTCTAAGGAGATGAGACTTCTTGATGAAGGCTTTGCCACATTCAATACATCCATAAGGTTTCTCTCCTGTATGAATTCTTTGATGTGTAACAAGCACAGATGTGTTGCCAAAGGCCTTGCCACATACCACACATCGGTAGGGTTTCTCTCCCGTGTGACTTCTAGAATGTTTATACAGGGATGAACTATACTTGAAGGACTTCCCACATTCCTTACATTCAAACGGGTTCTCAAGCATATGAGATTTCACATGTTGATTAAAAGAGGAGCTCCAAATGAATGTTTTCCCACAATGACTGCACTTATAAGGTTTTTCTCCAGTGTGAAGTCTCTGGTGGTTCACAAGGTAGGATTTCTGTGTAAAAGCTTTCCCACAATCAGTGCACCTAAAGGGTCTCTCTCCACTATGCATTTTCTGATGAGCTAAAAGATATGCCTTCCTACTATAAGCTTTCCCACAGACATTACATTCTAAGGGTATTTTTCTTGTATGATTTTTTTCATCTCTAATGAAATGAAACTTCTTTTTGAAGGCTTTCCCACATTCACTGCATTCACATGAGTTTTCTTCAGTATAACTTCTATTATAATCAAGTAAGTCTAAATTAGGTTCCAAATTCTTCCCATATGATTTACATTTATGTGATTTTTTTCTTGTTGGATTAAGACTTGCGCTCCTATTATAAAGGTGGAGTTTCTCCATAGTCAGAATTCTATTGAACGTGAACCAAACCGACTTCAAAAAATTGTCTTTGCTTTCCTGCTGCTCCTCTGGTTCATCAAGTGGACAGTCAGCTTCTAAAAAGGAGTACAATAAAACATTCCTAGTTACTTTTTTTCCCTCCAACCTGTTATAAACAGAAAAGTCTGTGGTTTCAAATCAAGTCTCTTGTTCTGAAATAAACCCTATATTTGCCTTGGTCTTCTGGAACTTTAAGAATAAAACCACTAAAGAGGAAATGGGAGCAGATGGATAACAAAAATGAGAACAGATGATTTAACATAATCTGTAGAAACTCAATAAAATAGGCATAAGGTACAGTGAATAAGGTACAAAAGTCAAAACATTGTGAAATAAGGGTACAAGGTTAAGTCATAAAATGAAGAGAGCCATTTTGGAGCTCTGTTAATGGCTAAGGTCACAAGGCAATGAGGAGCCAGGGGAGCCAGGGGGAAGACTAGGTTTGGAGGAGGCAGGTAAGAGGCAGAGTCTTCTCTACAAATTCCTAGATGACTCTGGTCAAATAGTTCCCTATTTCTCTCATTTCTCTTTTTCCTTCTAATCATCCTGCAGAATATCAACTTTCTAAGAGATTCTTGAATCTCCAGCCCTCTAACCATATCTAGATGAGGCGTATCTGTAGACAGGGCTCCAATTCTACCGACAGCTCACATTCATTTTGCGTGTACTTGTAAGCCTAGGAACATACGATGTCTAGCAGGTCACGCATAGGCAAGTTATTCTTAGCCCAGTCATAGATTCTATTTGCTAACCTTTTTATTCTCACTGGGCTTCTGTGTGATAAATTATCTTTTGTATTTGTATTGGGCATGCTGCATACTCTACCAATCTGCCTGATAAACTCGTCTCTGGAAAGCTGTTTTACTCTTTAAGTCATGTTTTTTTGCTCCTAGCCTCAAAACCTTATAAATCCCAAATATGTTACTCCATTTAAAAAAATGAGGGAGGAGGGGTCATAATTCTCCAGAATTTCCCTCCATATGGAATGTTAGTATAGTACAACATTCCCAACTTCTTGCTCTATATCCTCTCCTGTATGGAGCCGGACTGAATTCAGGTGATAGGCATTGGTACAATTCATTATAGAGTGGTTCTAGTTTGCGGATTCATTTCTTTCTTTTCTAGTAAAACCAATGGGAAGCAGCTACAAACAAGAAGTGAAAGTCTAGGGTAATCTGCCAGGTATGCAAAACTGAAAGATATGCATTTACCTATGGGATTTAAGAAGGCATTTTACTAGTGTTTAGTGTCTTCTATTCCACACATTCTAGACATTTATGTAGATGTTCCTCAACTTACAATGGAGCTATGTCCTGATAAACCCGTCAGTTGACAATATTATTAAAATTAAAATGCACTTAATACACCTCATCTATCAAACACTTTAGATTAGTAACACAGTACATGGTAGAGTACTCGCTGTTTACCCTCGTGATCGTGTGACTGACTGGGTGTTGCGGCTCACTACTGCTGCCCAGCATCTTGGCAGAGTACCATATATCGCCAGCCCAGAAGACATCAAAACTCAAAATCTGAAGTACAGCTTCTGATCACTTTTTGCACTACTGAGCCTCATTCATTTGGAAGGTGAATGGATTATGGGACATTATACCTAACTTGTTGAGAGATGGGGCCTGCTCAGATGATGGGGACCCCTGTGGGGGTGACCTGAGAGGGCAGATTTCCCTTCCGGCTCTTCCCTTCACCCTCTGCTTCCTGACCACCATGAAGTGAACAGCTTTTCTTCTGCAACGCCCCTGTGCCACGCCATTCTGCCCTGGACCCTGCTGACCTAGACTGTAACCGTAAGCCAAATAAACATTTTTTTCTTTAATTTGTGGGTGTCGGGTATTTTGTCCCAGTGACAGGAAAGTAACCGAGACAGTGAAGGCAAAAATCCTAAACTTAATCATCCTTAATCAGAGACTGTACATGATTATAATCTTTTGCTCTTATTCCTTCTCCACCTTAACTTGTCCTCACTTTTTCTGTTTAGTACTTGATATTCTTTTGGGAGGAGCCCTTGTTCCATGATCTCAAAAACACACATCTCTAATCTTGACTTTTCTTTCAATTTCTAAAGTAATTGTTATTCTGATTTGTATCTAAAATGTCCTCTGCCTCCTTGCCTTGTGCTGGGGAATTGGTTGCCAGCTAACAGGCTTTTGCAAGGTGACTGGATCATAAAGGGTCAAACTTCCTCAGGGTACTCATTGATAACGGTCTCATGACTTGATGGAATCACTGGAAGGCGATGGAAACTTGGGAGGTGGGGCCTGGTTGAAGAGCAGGTCATGGACATGTGACCTTGATGACACTGTAAGTATCTTTTCCCTACCCTTGCCCTCAGGCTCTGGCTCCCTCTCTGCTTCCCAGCTGCCATGAGGGAAGCAGTCTTCCTCTCCTGCACTCTTCTGCCATGATGTTTCTGCCTTACCACAGGCCTAACAGCGATGGAGCCAGCTTAACAAGAATTGAAATCATGAGGCAGAATAAGTCTTTCCTCCTTGAAGTTGTTTTTCTCAGGTATTTTGTCACAGCAACGGAAAGCTGGTTAACACAATCCCTTGCCTATACCATTCATTTTGACAATATTAACTAGAACAAAACTGCAACGTTAATGGGCAATGAACAAATGTTTTACACTCATCAAATTTTAAAATGTTTTAAATGTTTTGAGCTTCTAGTTACCATTTATACATTAGAAAATGGTAATGAGTTTTTGCTTTCTTTGAATTTTCTCAGGAAGCACTGTAAAAAGTCTTATAGTATGGGAAAAAAAATGACCCATTATGCCTGGCTCTACAATAGTGAATTAATGAAATGTTCATTAAAAGAAATTATACAGCTCTTTCTTTAGGGTATTATCATGAAAAACTATTGTTTTAAAAGCACAAGGGTTTTTAAAAGTCCAAGACAGAATATGTGAAATTGTCATGATAGAGTTACAGCACAATTACACAGGGAGTTCAAGAGGGCAGAAAGTGCTACAGAGCTTTCATGGAAGAGAAGAAAATTGACCTTAAACTTAATAGCACACTGGCTTTAGGTAGAGTCCATCAGAATTAAAAGGACTGGAGCAGAAAAAGAAAGTTATGTATAAAGGACATAAAAGAGCTCAATTCTCACACAGTGAGGAAAAGATAGCTATTTTTGGTTTCCTTTTTAATATAGATGAATTTTTGTTTGTTTTGAGACAGGGTCTCACTGTGTAGTTCAGGCTGGCCTTGAACTCACTATGCAGACCAGGCTGGCCTCAAACCTCTGGCAATTCTCCTGCCTCAGCCTCCCAAGTGCTGGGCTTACAGGCATGCACCACCACCCCGGCAAGATAGATACTTTTTGATAAGCAAACTACAGCCACATTGGAGAGGGCATTAGAAGCCATGTGGGGGCTGGGGATTTAGCTCAGTGGCACAGCGCCTGCCTGGCAAGAGCAAGGTGGTGAGTTCAATTCCCGGTACTGGAAAAAAAACAAAAAATAAAAAAAATTAAAAGAAGCCATGTGAATAATCACAATACAGATTAGAAAGGACTGACTTACATTTTTCAGGATAGAGATAAAGTGAAAGAATTTGGATAAGTCATGGAGTAACATCTAAGCTAAACAAGAAAACAGAATGGAAATAGGAAAAATAGAAACATAAATAGCCCAGATATAATATCAGTAATTAAAATTCACTTGGTTTAGAGCCAGGCATGATGGCACAGGCCTGTAATCCCAGTATTCTAGAGGCTGAGACCAGAAGATCACAAGTTCAAGTCTGACCTAGTTTATGCCGCAAATTCAAGGTCAACCTGGACTATACAGACTACACAGTGAGTAGGACTGTCTCAAAAAAAGAAACGAAACAAAAAATCATTTGGTTTATGTCAGAAGATATGGTTTTAGGGAATTGGTGTCTGAATCATTTGAAACACATTTCTTTTATGCTCTTTGTGGAAAAATGAAGAATTTCTGTTCAATCAATGTTAGATAAGTAATAGCTGAAATCACAGGCCATAAAGTTATATACCATTTCTTTTTTTTTAATATACTATTTCAAGTGAAACTATTGGGAGAAAAAAATTGCTTACTGCAGTGACTTTAAGACTACAGAGTCTGCCAAATAATGTGTACACACTTTAGGAAAATGGTGAGACTTTTTTTCAAAACAGATGGTGATACCCTCCTATGGAGGAACCTAGAGGATTTCATGCATCATGGAAAACTCACTACACTGCCGGCCCTTAGAGAAGAAATTAAAAATTCATGAGCAGCAGTCTCAAGAAACCAAAGTTATCCAAGCAGCAGTTTGCTACTAACAAATGTCTGGAAGCCTGTGGCAACTTTCAGCACCTCTGGTAATTGTGGAGGCCAAGGGTAACTTGTATTCATCTCATGACATCTCAATAAATTTAATATTAAAATATTTATACAAGTTTTTCTTTTCCTGATGTTTGTACACATTTTTCTGGTGGGCTCTGTACAAAGCATTATTTTTATACAGGGGCCATGCTAATCTCTTTATCCTTCCAATTTTAGTATGTGCTGCCAATATGAGCACGGTCATTTTTCTTTGCTGTAACATTGTACAGCAGTGGGCCAGTCATTATTCTTTATTGTAACATAAAATGTGAAGCTTGAAGAATTTTTAAAATTAGTTACAGTGAAAAGACTGAAAATAAGTCTTGGCATAAAACTTGTGGGAATGGAAAGTTGCTGAGGTAAAGGTGCTGCAGATGGAGTGATGAGATGTCTGAGGGAGTTACTATGGAGAGCTGAGAAAATGATAGAGGCAAGAAGAGATGAATAAATAATCAGCAAGATGGGTAAGCAGAGATTAGCTAGGAAACAACCAAAAGTGAGTTGGAGGAGAATTTCAAAAAGATATGCATCAGTATTACCAAGTGATACACTAGAACATACCCGCATCATCAAGGAGACTAAAGAGAAACAAGGTAATTGTGATTCTTCTAAGTTTGTGTTGCTCAGCTTCATTTTGAATGTAACTGTAACTTTTTCATACCAGAAGCAGGGCTTGGTCATGCCTGACACAGCTTCCAGTGCTATATCCCTTCCACTGCCCAGTTCTTCGGCGTGGTTAATCCAGATTTCCACTATATACAACAGTGTTCCCTGGTGATCACTTCCTTCTCTGTGGTATAGACTGACATAGCCAACTTGACTGGTCTGGTGATTATAAACCCTGTATGGACTATGCAGATGTGTCCCAGTAAGCACCTCTCAGTGTGACCTCCAGGTACTTGTGCTCCCATGCTTTAAAACCGCCCAGTAAAACTCTCCATCTAAGACATTTGAATAACACCTTAGACTCAGTTAAAGCACTGGACAATGGGCCCCTCTCTCAATCCCTGCCCCTGAGGTGTGTGTCCTCCAGTCATGCAGAGCATCCTCCAGGACCCATGAGTAATAAAATCTTTATTGCCATTTTGTCTCTCCCAATCACTGCAGGGGTGCTCAAGTGCAGCCTTATTGGACCAATTTACTCATAAAACTGTCTCAAAATTTAAAAAAAAATTTAAAAGGCTGGGCAATTTAGCAACTTGGTGAGAACCTGTTTCAAAATAAGAAAAAGGCTGAGGATGTAGCTTCGTGTGAAGTCCCTGGTTCAAGCCCCAGCACCAAAGTGAAACAAAACAACAAAAAACACAACACTGGGGTACATAATGCAAAATAAAGAATAAGTTTATTTTTTAAAAAAGGAAGATGACTAGAGCATCATGTCAACTGAACAGATATAGTGAACACTTACTCTCTGCCAGCTGTTTGACGTGTTTTTCATATATTAGCTCTTACATTCTTTACAGGAAACCTAAGGTAGGGATTAATGTAATTCTTATTGTATTAATAAAAAAAATTATGCTACAAAATAATTTGCCCAAGGTTAGACAATGATCGGTAAAATAGTTTTAAATCCACACAATTGAACTACATTATAAGAATTAATTATAGAACAAGAATTGTAATCATGTTGAGAAGGAAAAAAAATGAGGGCTTCAGGAACTATGAGAACAGAAATAAAGCAAAGACCTAGAGGAAGCAGGCAATGTGAGAAGCCAGGGCAGAGAGAGGGCATCCGTGTATGCAATAGCTGAGCAAAGAGTAAGAGCACCTATGTGGGTACAAGGAAAGGAAGGTACCTTTGGAAATTTGATGTTATATCAAGAGTATCCAATTACTTACAAAGGTATGTAGCTTTTGGTGCTTCCTAAGAGGTATTTCAAAAGTGCATGTCCCTCACTGACCAACTGGGATGTCAATTCCAAGGACTCTCATCTAATTTTCTCTCACTTACCTGGATAGCTCCAATGTAGATTCTCTTCCTCCTCCAGCCATAGCTCTTGTCCTTGTTCTATCTTGAGGATCACTTCTGGTTTAGTAACTGGAGACCCTGTTCATGGGAAGATAACACAGAAGACAGACAAAGTGCTAGGGACAAACAACTATCTCACAACCCAAGTCTGCTTCCTTGAGTCTCAGAGCCTTGACAAACAGTCTCTAGAACAAAGCCCCTTCTTCAATTGGAGATAGAAACATAAAGAGACTACCTGATACCTAAAGGGGATTAGTAATCTTTGACCACCGAAATTCGGGACCAAATTTATTAATGCTTCAGACGTTCAGAGTTTTCACAAGTCTTAAAGGAAGGGCACCAACTGGTACATTCCAAGTTACACTGAAAAGTTACCACCCACTGTCCTTACCCACTGAAATGAGGTTTCTATAGTTGTCCAACATCACATCCCAATACATCATTCTCTGATCACAGTCAAGCAGCTGCCACTCTTCTGGGGTGAAGTTCACGGCCACGTCTTGAAATGTCACTGATTCCTGTAATAGCACATTCATCATCAAACTAATGTGTGCATTATTAGGGACTTGCAAGAGAATCATGACAGCCTCTTAATATCGTATGTTCAGTGTTGAGTTTATGGAAAATTATGTACAATACTATACAGCTGATTCAGAAATATACTTTGCAGGAGGAACACAAATCATATGAGAAATATCTAGCTAATGTCAGAAAAGTTCAATAGAAAAAGAAGAGTCATTTCAACAAATGGTGCTGAGACATGTACATAGCCACACACAAAAGAATGAAGTTGAACACCCCAGCAACCTGACATCACAAACAAAAATAAACTAGGATGGATCACAGACCTAAAGGTGACAACTAAAACTGTTAAATTCTTAGAAGACAACATAGGGGAAAATCTTTATGACCATAGATTAGGCAGTGATTTGTTTTTTCCTCTTTTTGAGAAGGGTCTCACTACCCAGTTCAGGCTGGCCTTGAGCTCACTTTGTAGCCCTGGCTGGCCTCAAATTTGCAAGGATCCTCCTGCCTCAGCCTCCCAACTGCTGGCATTACAGGCATGCACCACCATGCCCGGATAGGCAGTGATTTCTTAAACATAACAGAAAAACTGTAAGTGACAAAAGAAAAAATAAGTTGGAAAACTTTTGTGCTTCACAGGACACAAATGAAAAGAAAACTCAGAATGGGAAAAATATTTACAAACATGTATCTAGTAAGAGACTCATACCTAGAACAAAGCACTCCTAAAATTCAACAATAGCCAGTTGTGGTAGCACACACCTGTAATCCCAGCACTGGGGAAGCTGAGGCAGGAAGATCACCTCTAGTTTGAGGCCACCCTGGGCTACATAGCGAGTTCAGGGCCAACCTGAACAATATAGCAAGACTTTGTCTCAAAAACAAAAACAACCAAAAACAATAAAAAGACATCTCAATTGAAAAATGAGCAAAGAATCTGAACATAATTTCTCCAATACATATGATCAAAAGACACATGAAATGATGCTCAACATCATTAGTCACTAGTGAAATGCAAATCCAAACCACAGTGAGATACAGCACTTCACACTAACAAGGATGCCTAAAATCAAAGACAGACAGTGACAAGTGTTACCAAGATCACAGAGAAAGTGCAACTCTTGTACATTTTGGATGGTCCAGCAAAATGTTGTAGCAACTATGGAAAACAGTTTGGTAGTTCCCCAAAATGTCCAACATCGAGTTAACATGTGATCAAGCAATTTCACTTCTAAGTGTATACCCAAGAGAATCAAAGCAAGTATCCACACAAAAACCTGTACACAAATGTTCTTAGCAGAATTACTGGTATTAGTCCAAAAGTGGAAACAATATAGTGTCCATTTACTGACAAATGGATAAACAAAATGTAACATTTTCATAGGACAGGATATTAGTATTCAGTAATAAAAAAGAATGAAGTACTGATATATTTACAACATGGATGCTGTGCTCGCTTGGTAGCATACACAACATGGATGAACCTTGAAAATACTATCCTGGATGAAAAAGCCAGTGAAAAAGATCACATATGATTCCACTTACATAAAACATACAGGAGGAGGCAGTAGATTATGGCTGGGGAAAAGAGAAATAGGGAGTAACTGACTTTTAATGGACATGGAAGTTTCCTTGTAGGATGACGAAAATGTTCTGAATCAGTGGTGATTCCTGCATAATGCTATGAATATAATATAATATAATGCTATGAATATGAATATAATAAAAGCCCAAGGTAGAGAGGAGGGGGAAAGGGAAGAAGGAAAAGTAAAACATAAGCATAATGCTATGAATATAATAAAAGCCCAAGGTAGAGAGGAGGGGGAAAGGGAAGAAGGAAAAACAAAACAAAAAAAGAGAGAGAGAGAAAAAAGAATGAAAACAGGGAAACAAAGCTTTTATAAACGGGGAGGTGTAATGGTTGGTTCATTGTGTCAACATGAGTTTAGAAGCTTAACTAAGTGACCTAGCAATTCCTCATCCTAGGGTGTAGAGGACCTGCCCTTATACAATATAAAGGAGAAGGAGGGCTTGAAGGGAGGGTAGGGGACTGCGGGGGGAAAACCCCCACGTTATACCATGTACAGGTACAAACTCTCTCATGAATGTGATCATCGTGTATATCTAAAATGTACTAATAAAATCTGATTAAAAAAACAATAAAGTAAAAGCCACTTAATTGTGTACACTTGAATTGGGTCACTTTTATACTATGTGAATTGTATTTCAATAAAGCATTTTAAAATATTACATGTTCTTAGTCATTCACTCATAAAACATTTAATGAATCCCAGTAGGCTGTATTAATATCAAAGGAATAAAATTACTCCCTTAGCGATTTTCCAATCTATTAGGTTCTACAAAGTACAATAAGATGTTAGTAAAGCTGTAATATTTGCATGCCAAATTTACATAGGATTGGAAAACAGATCTTTTTTAATATGATAAAAAAACCCTTTTAACCATAAAGCAAAAACCATGTGATGTGTAAAAATTAAAAGCATCAGAATTAGGGCTGGAGTTGTAGCTCTTCTTGTTTAGGATACACAAGGCCCTGGGTTTTATCCCCAGCACAGAAACAAAAACAAAACAAAAAGTAAAAAACAAAGGCATGCTTCTGTGCATCTACCACAAAACACCATAATTAAATAGGCCACGGTGGTGCACACTTGTAATCCCAGCACTCTGGAGGCTGAGGCAGGAGGAGCACCCCAAGTTCAGGGCCAGCCTGGACTACACAGTGAAACCTGTCTCAAAAAAGAAAAAAAAAAAAAAAGAAATGGAGAAGATTTATTATTAAAAAATAATGAGTTCTCTCCAAATTAATCTTTATACTTGGACTGATAAAATGAGATCACTTAACACCACTTGGCACTAGGCTTTCTGCTTACTCTAGAAAATACTCTAAGAAAGTCATAGGAGCTGGGTATGGTGGTGCACACCTAGAATCCCAGCACTCGGGAGACAGAGGCAAAAGGATCACCACAAGTTGAAGGTCAGGCAGTGCTACTTACTGAGTCCAAGGCCAGCTTGAACTACCTAGTAAGACCCTGTCTCCAAAAAACAAAAGCAAACAAACATGACAGTCATAGGAAACCCAATATATTTATCACAGACTTGCTGTGAATGTTATTTCTCACAGTACCTATACAACAACCCATTAGAAGAAACTTTCTGCAGAGAAATATGCCAGGAAAAAAAAAAAAAACCTTTGTTTATCTGAGGAATTATTTTGCTTTATCCGCACAGACAATGCTAATACTTTAGTTGACAATCCATTTAATATGATATTCAGGAAGTACATATTTGCAGTTCCAATTTATTACAATTATATGTAGACCATACAACATGACATCATCATGTTTCCTAAATTTCCATTTGAACCTGATCTTCTATTCAATCTATACTTTCCCTATCTCTATACTTTCTTTTCCTTATATGGATTTTTGGGATATTTCCTTATATGGATATTCCTTAGATGATTGCATGAATAGATGGATGCCTTACCTGAAAGTTGATCATTCTCTGCAGTTTTGGGACAGAAACCTACGAAAGTAAAAATAGGAAGAATAGAAAGACGTGGGACACCAAGACTGTAATATATAACCTTGCTCTACCAGATCAGAAGCACCCACACTGCAGCCTCAGAAAATGGGATAAAGATATTCCTTCAAGTCAGAAAATCCATGTTCCATATGTATACAACTCTACATCCATTCTGTTAGCAATATGTATGTGGAGCTTAAAACTGTTTTACATTTCTGTCCTGCTCGAAGGCCAAGTTGTGAAACTTTAAACCAGTGACTTTTCTCCCTTGTACAAATTTATCCCAAGGAAATAATGAATGAGTTGAAAGACTAAATCCCTGGGTCTCTGAAACACAGTATGTATAACTACAAATTACTTCTTCCTCTGATTCTCTAGTCTCTGGATTGAAGCTGGTGCAAAAGATCTGAAATTAGATTCAGATCTTTCCTTCTTTCTTTAATAGATGAGCTCTCACTAAATTGTTTAGGCTAATCTTGAACTTCTGGGATCAAATGATCTGACTGTTTCAGTCTCCTGAGGCATGCAGCTGCCTCATTCAGCCAAGGTTGAGCTTTCTTGAGATGGCTACATTCAGAAACGCAAGTTCATTTGTTAGTTCACCCATTTGTTCATAGTAAAGCTGGAGCCTTCAGTTTAGACTCTAAATCTATTTCTCTGTCTATGGGTCTACATCATCTATAAATTCACCCTGGAATTTTTGAAATTGTAACCAGCTCTGCTAAAATTGGCAAGCAGGAGTCACTGCTTCATTCATAGTGAAAAAAAAAATGCAGCCAAAAAAAAAAAAAAAAAAAAAAAAAAAAAAAAAAAAAAGATCTTCATGGGAAGATCTGCAAATAAAAGAGACCCTCGTAAAATGACTACAAGTCAAAATTTATTCAGCACTCACGGCTCAAATATGTCCAAAGGGAAGTACCCCTGTATTAGTTACCTTCCCTGAGAAAAAGCCTAAAGGTAAAGGGTTTATTTTGGCTCACAGTTTCAGAGGTTTCAGTGCATGCTTGGCTGGCTCCAACAGAGTAACAGGGAAAGGGCAAGAAAGGGGCCAAAGACCAGAAATATTCCCCAGGGTCACACCCCCAGGCTCCACACAGCACACCCAAGCGGGCGCTTTACTAATCTAGATATTTCCCAAACCAGTTGACAATCAAGATTAACCACAACACCCAACTCTATGCTATGCAAGAGTGCTATGTTGTAAAACTGGACTGACATTTGTAAAACAAAACAAAACAAAACAAAACACGCATCTGGGTTAGCTCTTTTACCTGCTATGCTGTGCGAGTCTAGGCAAGTAATTTCACCTCTTTCTGCTTCTGGTACTTCATACGCAAAATGGTGAATTACTTCGGATGATTGCAGATGATTACCCTGGGAATGTAGAGCAGCTTCTCTAGAATTCTTTCTTGCTAGATCCCTTGAAATGACCTTCAAATTTCTGTAGCAACAAGCTCAGTTACACTTTATGTATTTATTTTGTCTTTTTTGAGACAGGGTCTCCCTATGCAGTTCAGGCTGGCCTTGAGCTCACTTTGTATCCCAGGCTGGTCTTGAACTCACAACGATCCTCCTGCCTCAGCCTCCCGAGTGCTGGGATCACAGACGTGCGCCTCCACGTCCAGCTCAGGTACACTTTAACGCAAACTTCTACACCGTGGCCCTACCTACAAGAGCAGGAATGCAAAATGATTTTGTCCCAGTCACACCCAAGCTCAAGAACCTATCTAGTGCCAGCCGGAACGCTACTCTACTTTCTCTGAAGCATTCGTGTTGGACAAGACAAACACACCCAAACACACCTGGTATGAACGCACTTGGGGGCTGTACACTTTAATCTTCTGTAGACTAAACCCCCAAGCTGGCCCTCTACGTTTTCCCCGAACTTCCTTTATGTCTCCCGAGTCCTGCAACGCCATACCATACCTG